CCGCCTGGGGGTCTCCGCAGGGAGGTTCGCGGTCGTCGATCGGGGAGCGAAGCCGGGGGCGGCGAATCTCCCGAGAAAATTCACAGGTCTCATTGAGTTCTGTGAATTTTAGAAAGGGTTCACCGCCTGGGGGTCTCCGCAGGGAGGTTCGCGGTCCTTTGTCGGGGGCGGAGCTGGCTTGGGGCGGTGAATCTTCTGTAAAGTTCACAGGTCTCATTGAGTTTCATATGAATGTTACGGAACGTTCACCGCCTGGGGGCCTCCGCAGGAAGGTTCGCTGTCCCAAGTTGGAGGGCGGAGCTGGCTTGGGGGCATAGCGGGCCGGCCTGGGGCGATGAATCTCCCGTACTTGTATTGAAGGTTCACCGCCTGGGGGCCTCCGCAAGGAGGTTCGCGGTCCTCGGTCGGGGGGCGGAGCCGGCGTGTGGCGGTGAATCTCCCGTAGAGTTCAAAGATTTCATAGAGTTCTGCGAATTTCACGGAAGGTTCACCGCCTGGGGGCTTCCGCAGGGAGGTCGGGGACACTGGGAACCGTCTCGAGAGCTGTATGGAGAATTCCAGTGTTCTCGGAGGTAGCAACCCAGTCACAGACGGCGACGATAAGGGCGAATAGCCCAGGGGCGGGTATTACACGTATTCGCCCGAGAGCCTTGCCGAAGACATAGATAATCGGCGCCCTTGGATATATGTATTGTTCCCCCCTGGGCTATTCGCCCCCGTCGTCGCCCCTGAAAATAGGGAAGCCGACAGTGCCCGCCGATGAGCACGACCCGAAGTCCTCGTGGACAGCGACTCGCCGGATGTCCTCTGCACATGCAAGAGTTTCGCTTGCCGCCCGCTCCAGGCGGCAGCTCCAGCGGCCACCGCCGAAGCATCCAGAGACTGCGCCAAGGGGACGCGGACTCCAGACGGTTCAATCACCTGCTATCGCCGCCACCCCAACCTATTTTCACTATCTGTGCGTCACCCCCCTGTGGGCGATGCGAGCACCGAGAAATGTTTATAGTATATGCGTCGTGGTGGACGATCTACTACAATATAGGTATACTAAATGTTTGGGTCGGACGCGCGCCTCCATGGATAACGTACAATACTAGTATGTTTTTGCGCCCCATGCTAGAGCTTGCCGGGCAGCTCCATTGCCCCGACTGCGATGCTTGCTTAGTGAACCCAGAACCGTAGAGAGACGTCCCCACCAGCTCGCGACGACATCATGTAGAGTTTGACCGCTGGCTTTATCAAGTAGTCTTCATTCCAACCTTCCGAGAGAAAGGCCCCGTCAGCTCTGGTTGATGTTCCAGGAAGTAGAACCCCTGTGATGCTGTGATATAGTATGGTCAAAAATAGATGCCCACGACAGGTCAAGAGCTCCCGGACTGGTAACGTGAGGACATCCGACGGCGAGCGCTGCAGACTCCCGAGCCACAGGCCAGACTTCCTAATCCTCCAGAGAGTGCGTTGAATCCGACTTGGCCCTTGCAGGGCTGACAGAACGAGGAAGGGGTCAGGAAAGAAGGGATATCACCTGTAACATTAGCCGTTGAGAGGGGGTTCCCCAGAGGGGGGGTCTCACCAACGCCCGACGATTAACTTTCTGACATGCTCGAGTTGGCTACGAGAGCTCCGCAAGAGACCTCTTCGGGCATTCTAGCAGGGTTTGCTGGGGCGGCGGCGTCAGCCGAGCCAGAACAACAAAGGCTGGGCAACATTATACTCGACATCATAATCGCTGTCCGACAGGCCGTCGTCCAGCAAAACAGGGGCCTGCTCAGGAACCGCTAAGTCATCGACATGGTCTCAGGTGCCTCCAGTGGATTTTGCCGCTGCACGCTGGCTGGCCTTCTGCTGCTTGTCGCGGCTAGATCTCGACCTTGGTGCGGGAGCAATTCCTGGACGCGGGACGCGAGGAAGGCGATCTGCCGTGATCAGTTTCCTGCATAGAATGCGAGTTCCCGAATTTCGGAGTCGAGCCTGAACTGCAGAATGAGATTTCGAAGGTACTGCTAAGATATGTCAGACGCACGCGATGCATGTTACACACTAGTAAGTGTCAGTGATATATAGTCGAGCATGGCTCCTTTCTCCGTCTCGCAGGTGTTGGTGGCTCCCGTGGTCGCGAGGATGACCCGGACAACCTGTTCGATGAACCTTCGCTGAGAGAGCTGTGAAACTAACGCACCTAACTTGGCGAATCTCGCCAGGCTACAGTGGGCGCGCGCATCAAGAAACCATATACTTTTCGTCAGGGTACTCTGGGTTTCTTCGCTCCGCGCGATGCGCGGTGACTTCCCGCGGCCGTTGAAGGAGCTGCTGCGTTCGGGGTGCTCCGGGTTTCCCCTCAGTTGCACCTCGCGCGCGGGTTTTCAGGGTTGTTTTTTTTGGGTTTCTTGCGACCGCGACCGCACTGTATTGCTGCTCAAGCCCCAGGAGCAGACTCCGTAGAGAGCGATGGCGATCGGCGAGTAACCGTGTGCATTGATGATTGCGAGGCCGGCGAGCGACATCGTGCCGCTCGCCGGGTAAGTCTGTCATGTACGCTACAGTCGGCCCGAATTAAGAGGTCGACCCTGCCAAATCAAGGGTACCCTTGTGTCCTGTGTCTCGCGACCCGTGGCTCCTGCATTCCTATGGCAATTTGGCCCTCGGAAGGGTCTTGTGTTCTCTCGCGTGTCCTGTCCAATCAAGTCCGACTGTACGCATCTGAAGGTGGTGTCGTCCGATGATCCACTCACCGCCTTCATGGACTCGCTCCTTCGTAGCCGCTGTTTGACATTTACCCGTGGCCCTACAGTCAACCCGTATAGTAAGGATGCGCGATAAGGATGCAAGGGCCTTGCCCGCCGATTTCGAAGCGTTCCGAGCGCGGGGTGGCCAACGAAAATGGTCAAGGATGGAACGAGGAGGCAAGGATGCACGGGTACCCTTGGGAAGGTTCCCCATCCCTACTATTCGGGTTGACTGTAGCACGGTTTATGCCAAGTTTCAGAGGTTATTTGGCCGCCTCTGGCCGCCAGTGCTGCGCATTCGACGACGATTCGGTGAGTGTCTCGGCGAGGGCGAAACAGTGATCTGGCCTGCAGGCGGGCTTCGTGATGAAATCCTAAGCCTGCCTTCCCATGGCTGAGACCGCTCTGCTGACGCAGTCGACTGCGTTCGCCCACACCTAATGTCAGCGCCCCCTGCGCCCGTCACTTCCGCACCGGCGTGGCCTCCATCTTGGCCGCTTTGGCCGCCGCCTCCTTCTTGGCCGCCGTGAGCTGCTTCGCCGCGCCCTCGAGGCGAGCGAGCACCTCGTGCTGCTGCCTCGCCGCCGCCGCCGCCGACGCCGCTGCCGCCGCTGGGTCGCCGCGCTGCCCAGCGCTCCGCCTGCGGCCGTGCCCGCCTGCGCCTCGCCGGCCGCCGCCTCGGGCTGGGTGGCGCTGGGCGTCTTGGTTCGCCTCGGAGTCGTCGGGCCGACGAAAGGGGGGGATAGGGAAAGGGGGGGTTACGAAATCTGCTGCATGCAGCTGGTTTCGGCCCCGCCGAGGGGCCCATTCCTCGATACATGGCCGCTTCTGGCGCCCGGGCGCGCCGCGAAAATCAGCTACGTGAGCTGATTTTTCCCCCCCCCCCCCCCCCCCCCTATCCCCGCCTTTCGCCCGGCCCGACGGAAGACGGCCCAGATGAACTGATTATCAAACCCCCTTTTGCTATGCCCCCCTTTCGCCCGACCCGAGAGTCGTCGTTGCACTGCCGCCTCTTCCCGTGCGCGACTCGATCTGCTTCTGCAGCTCCTCGGCCAGGACGAGCCAAGCGACGACCTCCGTGCTCTTGGACGGGGAGCTGGTCCCTGGTGGCGCCGAGGTCGCTCTCGAGCTGCCCTGCGCCTCGGACTGGGGCGGGAGGACGCCGACCTTGGATGCGAGCGCCCGCGTCGCGAGCCGCTTCGACTCGATCGCCGACGCCAGCGCCAGCGCACAATGACCTTTCTTCCCTCCAGCTCGCGCGAGATCCTCTTGACAACGCTGGAGTGTGGCGAAAGCCTGGTCGTGTTTCATCTGGGTGTCCTTGACAACTCCGTCCGCCTTGCGGACTGCATCCTCATGTGTAGGAGCGTCCATTTTGGCCGCCTGTATTTTGAGAATGTCCATCTGAGAAGGCATCGTCGTCTTCAGCGTGGCTGGTGATGGCGATGGCCGTCTTGAGCTTGGCGATCTGGGAGCTCGCGGATTGCGTGCCACTATTGTTCTTGTTTTTTGTTTATGTGCTCATGCTGCGTGCTTATGATTACCCGTATCCTTGTCCTTGTCCTTGTCCTGATAGGGCTTCACCAAACGTCCGCACTGCTGGCATGTTCGGCCTCGCTCCATCAAAACATTGTTCTATTCAATCTTCCCGCATCCTCAGCACTTTGACCAGGAGTGAGAGGTATAATAAATTCCATTTCTGTCGCAAAATGCAAGCCTGATGTGCCCCGCTGTGCCACCGAGAAATGCACGTGAGGTGGTGCTGCCGCGATCCCCCCCAAGCGCTGCGTGCAGGCAGGGGGCTGACCCCAGGAGGAAACGCTGGGGGGCCAGATGCTGGAGTGGACCCCAAGGGGAGAGAAAAATGGAGATGGGGACAGCCATTCACCTCACACGCTTTTGCGCCCCCAGCAAGCGGGGGTCGGCAGATCCTATCGGGTGGTGGAAAGCTCGTCAGCCAGGACGGCCGAAGATTTATCTTGTAGGGCAAGAAGCGGGATGAGCATACACGCTTGGAGGTCCGCTCGAATTTTTGTTGGTTGGCGCTGGAGCCCCGCTGGCGGCGCCTCCAGCGCAGCCCCCTTGCGCGCTTCGCGCGCGAGGGCAGGGGTGCTCCAGCGCTGACCCGAGAGCTCCGTGCGGACCTCCCAAGGTTTATGCCGATGCCGTGTTTGTTCTTCTGCTGTCGAGACAGATCCCCTTGGGATCGAGGTCCCCTGGAGAATACAAGAGGATGGCGACTTCGTCATTCACCGGAGGACAACCAAGGAGAACATGTTCATTCACCGGACCCAGGGCTGGTCACTGATGGCCCTGGGATTCTGCATTCAAGTGCTCTGCTGCTGGTGGATCCCCGTGATGTTCTTCCTCTCGGTTGTGAATTTCACCACCTTTTGCGAAACTCGTCTGCGAACATGGATGGTGGTATTCGCAGTTCTGATCCTCGCCATCCCCCTCACCATACAGTGTCTGAACGTGTCGTGCGCCAAGCTTGGGTACCGCTTCGGCTACGTTGTCGTCTCGAAGTGCAGCTGGGTTGCTGGGGCTGCCCTCCTCGGCTATTTTATGCAAGACGCCTCGCGATCACCTTTCAGGGGCATCGTTAGGGTTAAGTCGGGCGCGTTCCTCTACAGGGGGAATATCAACACATGGTAAAAAATAGTCTGGGGACGATCTGTTGACCGCTTTCGAATATGGTTTGATTATTTTGGGGGTATTTTTCAATTTTCGTCCACAATCCGCCTGTACAGTCGGCCTTGATTAGTAGGTCGACCCTGCTAAGTCAAGGGTAGCCTTGTGTCCTGTCTTTAAAGAGGCATGCCTTTTGCATTTCTAGGGCAATGTATCCCTCGGAAGGGTCTTGTGTCCTCTCGCGTGTCTTCTCCCATCAAGTCCGCCTGTAGGGGGACACGCCCGACCTGACGTTCGGGGGGCACAGGCTCAGGAGGGGGCAGGCATCGGCTCCCGATCGCCCAGTGACCGCCGAGAGGGGCCCAAGCTCCCACCTCCGCCCTGGAACGCACGGGTTCGCCACCGAGAACCCATCGTTACGTCGGGCCTGTCCCTCTACAGGGGGAACCATTCAAAGATAGTAAAGAAGTAGCCTGGGGATGATTTTGTGAGTATCTGTTAAAACCATTTTTGAGTATTTCTGTTGTGTTTTTAATTTTTCATCCAGAATGCGCCTGTAGCGGGACATGCCCGACCTAAACCCATCGCCGATATACCGGCGATGCATCGCTGATTCTAGGTCGATGCTCCCCCCTCCCCGGAGCTGGGCGCCTTAGCTGCCCCTCGTGTTTCAAATTCTGGCCAGAATGGCCCGCTGCTCCCGCATGGCTCCACTCTGGTGCTCTTCTTCGTAGGTGGCCGTGTGCACGCCTCCCCCGCGTCTCGGCCCAGTGTGGTTGGACTTGCGCTTCCGGCAGCGCCGGAGAGGGAAAACTTGGCCCCGCGCGGGCTCCGAGAGAAAGCCCCCCGAAGCGCCCGGCACGCCTCCGACGGGGCCGGACGCTGCAATCGGGCCGGACGAAAGAGGGGGATCGGGAAAGGGTGGGGGGTTACAAGAAATCTGCTGCATGCAGCTTGTTTCGGCCCTACCGAGGGGCTCATTCCTCGATACATGGCCGCTTCCGGCGCCCGGAGGCGCCGCGAAAATCAGCTTCGTGAGCCGATTTCTCCCCCCCCCCCCCCCTTTGCTATCCCCGCCTTTCGCTCGGCCCGACGGAAGACGGCCCAGCAGATCCTCCATGGGATTCCACGCAACACGGGGTCGCGGGTGCACTTCTGTCGACGGGGGGCTCCACGGAAGTCGCGGCGCGATTTTATGTTTCATCAAAGCGCCGAGAGTGTTTGACCTCATGATGCGTTGAAGCGCCCTGGGCCCGTCCGGTCGGAGGATTTATGGGCTGTACCTGTACGAGAACAGCACCTACGTGATGTGCTACGACGGCACCGGATTGAACCCGCTGGCGATCATGAGGGCGCTCTGGATCCTGTCCTTCTGCTTCCTGACCCTTCTCGGCATAGGCATGGCCTGCATCTGCTGCAGCAGGGGCCCGCGGCTCGAGGGCTAGTGCGCGGGCCGCTGTCCCAGCGCTCGCCAGCAGCAGAAAGGCACCGAGGGCACTGACATCGCGAAGGCCTTGCGGCCAGTGCCGCCGACCCTGTTCGCTAGGACGAGGAGGAGAAGGAGGAGGAGGAGGAGGAGGATCTAGGCCTCTGGGATGGGGTCCAAGTGGATGGGGTCGGAGGATCGCGTCGCATCGCCGATGTATCGGCGATGCGGCTCGGTGTGGAACCCGATTCTCTCCACGCCGACGTCGCCGATGCATCGCAAACGTCGCCAGTGCGTTGCCGATACATCAGCGATGCATCGGCGATGCGGCCTGATCCTCTGACCCCATCTACTCCGACCCGATCTGGGAGGCCGTTAGGAGGAGGAACAGGGTTTGTTTGCTGGGTTTGCTGACGATGTGGGCGGCAATCCATTGGACTAGCCTTCGGGGCGTTCCTGCGCCTCGCAGAGACGGAACACCGGCGGATGGAACGGACAAGCGTCTCAAACGCGCCGACAGGGTCGGCGGATTTGTTCGGCGCAGCTCTTGAATGTTTTGAGTTGTCTGCAGTGTCAAGGGCGCGGCGGGGACCTGCGACAATATTTGCGCCTCTTCTGTTCTTTCATACCCCGCGGGACTTACGTCCAGTTGAGTGGATCATGAACCGCGTGTCCAGGGTCACGCAAATCCAGATTTCTCACTTGCTGCGTTGTCTGTCCAGCATGCGCTCGTTGACTCACGAAGAATGTAATACTCGACCCTAACGCAGCTTACATCACCACATGCTGAGAACTTTTGACGCTTCGCGTATCCCCACCAATGCGGTTTGCGGCAGCACAGTTTCCCAGAGCGCCATCTTACACTTCCCTCTGGTACGCCAGGTACCAAGGATAGGCGGCGCGGGTTAGTCACGTTAGATGCTCCCTGGTACGCTTCCTCGTCTTATCCACGGTTGGCAGTCGCAGCGACTTGTGCCTGGTAGCGGATTGGGGCAGTTGTACCTTCCGCATAGCGTCACATCATGTTACCTGATGGCCCGCTTGCGATCGCATCTGTTCGAGGTTGTCTTTTGGACCTGACGTGCTTCGTTTGGTTACAGACACCACGATCTCGCGCCCTTGGCGGCGTTGGTGCGTACTCTGAAGCTGCGACGGTTCGCTGGCGCTGTCAGAGTCCAACCTTCCTATGGTATGCAGTCTGGCGACAGCTTGCGTGTCTCTCGGTCGCTCTCTGAGCATGGCAGACACCCTGGGTCCCTTCTCAGCCTTCTGCGCCTTGGTTTGCAGACTCCCTACTGTTCAGATATCCCTGACCTGGTCGGGGTCCTGCATCGCGCCATTTTGGCAGCGTAATTACTGCCTGGTGCTGGTTGCCGTCAGACTCCTTGGGCTCAGCACCCTTGCGCCCGCCGCTTGGCGTCGGCCGCGCCCGCGCGCGCTCGGCCAATGTGTAGCGGCCGCGGCCCGACCGCTACCCGCCGCCGCTGGCGTTTCCGCCTGCGGCTGTATCACATATTCCCACCAGTTCCATCTACCTCCCCCCCACCAGGAAGGATGATACCCTGGCAGAGATCGCATCGGCTGCGGAACGATGGGAGCCCCTCGACACCTACTGGAGAGGGGACGTCAACCTGCAACTCCAACACCCGAGGGACGGAGAGGTGGAGGCCGCGGCCCTCTTGAGGGACATCCTAACCAGCTCCGGTTCCGTCGCCATCCACATGCACGGCCCAACCAGGATTGACAAGGAAAGTGAATCCCAAATCGACATCTGCGCTTGCCCAATCAATCACATCCATGCATACGACCCCCGGAAGCTGTGGCGGTTCACTCTTTCAGATCATGCCCTCATATCGCTCGACCCCAGGGCGCAAGGAGAGCCAGAAGGGACGACACCATGAGGGCGGCAGACTTGAGGAAACTCCCAACTGCCGCGCACGTGGAGCTGCGCAGGATCTACGCAGATCTGGAGATCCTCTTCGGCGCTCCAACCGTCAACCTTTGCGGCCTAATCCAGCCCTCCGACTGGATCAGGCCGGCTCGCCCAGGAGGCTTCCCCGACCATCACCCGGACAACGACGACGGCGACGCATTTCGCTTGCCCAGCGACCCCGCCCCAGCTCCAGGAAGTCCTGAGCACCGCACTCTCCTCCCCCCTGTCCTTCCCACCCTCATGCGATTCGGGAGGCACGCCCTCACCTCGGCCCTACAGGACTGGTGGAAAAAGGGGAAGTCGCACAGAGCACGAGCCTCTATGGGGACGCTGCTGGCGGCAGCCAGCCAAAGACAGCAAGTCACACGCCCGGTGGGGGCCTTGGCAGCTTGGCTACACGAGTTCGGATGGGACGGACACGACCTAACCCCAGAGCAGGCAGGGCTCTGGCTCAAGACTTGGGACACGGAGGTCACGCAGCGAAGGGCGATGCACCTATCCCCCGTCCAACGAGGCCCTGGAGCAGAGCGCTCCCCCCTCGCAGCCCACTACAGGACGGGGCGATAAATACATAAAAAGACCCATGCCATTCCAGGAGTAAGGGACCACGACGGTAACTGGCACGACAGGCCTAACCAGGTTGACAAGGTACTTTGGGACAGCCGCAGTTCGATTTGGCACACCGCTCCCCCTCTCCCTTGTTCTGCCGGCCGGCTCCTCGACCAGTACTTCTTTGAGTACCCCGGCACCGACGTACCCAGTCGTCCTGCTCCTTGTTGGGCAAATCTAGCTGCCACCGTCTTCGCCCCCAGCGGGAGCGCCCCAGGGGTCGACGGGGTCCCATACGAGGCCTTTCACCCAGGCGCAAGGTTCGTCGCCTGCCTCTTCGACCAGGCATGGTACGCAGCGGACTTCAACCCGAGCCTCATCGACGAAATACTGGGGCCGTCAGTCGATCTCCTGGTATGGATTGGGAAGAGACCAGGCGCTGAGGGACCCAACGACATGAGGCCGCTGCAACCCCCCACCTGCATACGGCGTCTCTATGGAGCATCCCTGGCCGACCTTCTGGGCCCAGTCGTCGAACCATTCTTAAGTCCCAATCAGGCGGCCAAGAGAGGGGGACAGTGTGGTCCCAACATCACCAGGGTTACGCAGCACCTGAGCGCTACCCCCAGACCACCAACCGCACCGGGTCCTGTTTGGGCCGCGCTACTAGGTCAGCATCATGCGGTGGTGGAGGAATACATCGAGCGCATCGCCGCAGGTCTGGGCGATGTCCCCTGCATTGCTGTCATCTTCTGCGATCAGAACAAAGCGTCCGAAAAGGATTTCGCCCCAATGGGTCGAGGCCCTGCTACAAGGATGGGGGCTCCCGTCACGGCTTCTCAACGCCCTAAAAGCCTTGGTTATCGAGCGGAAGGTTAAGACGTGTAAGGGCAAGTGCAAATGGCCAGAACGCCGCCTGCTCAGATCCGTCGGCATGGGTGGCACCGCCTCCCCCCTCCTGTGGAGCTTGGGATACGACCTTCTCATGAACGCCATTGCATCCATCACAGGAGAGGGCGATCCCACATACGTAGACGACCTCGCCGCGCTCGTTAGCACAACAAGACAGGCTCTTCGCGCAGCAACCGCACTTCCCTGGGCCGCCCAGGCCGCCGGGCTCCTGGTCGAGGCGCACAGATGTAGGGGGGCGCGCACCTATGACTCCCCCGACATCCGCGCGGCGCTGGAGGAGGCCCCCGTACACTTTGAACAGGCTGGAGACAGTGTGCTCATCTCGGGGCCCCCTGCACTCTTTATCCAGGCTCTGATCAGCAGCTACATGGGGGACCGTGGTCCTATACGGTGCACGCGCTACCAGCGCACCTGCAGCTGCGCTTTCAAGACAGCGCTCGTACCCGCGGGATACCAAGGGTGGTGGCGCACACTCAATGGAGCACACCCCCTTTGGAGGATCGGCGGTGAGGGAGCAATGGCCGTGCCTGGGGGCAGTGGTAGTATCCCGAGCAGCAGAAGGGGGCGAACCCCCGGAGAACGGAGGGCTCACAGGATAGCAAGAGGAGTTATTACGCAAGGGCACGTGGAACCGCCCCCTCCCAGGATGAGGGAGAGATCCCTACCCTGAGGGTCGGGGGAGCTTAGATCTAAGCTCTCAGTGTTTCAATCATAAACAAACGCTCATGTGATGTTTGGGGGCTTGTTTGACACTTTGATAACACATGTAACTTCTACTTCAGAAACAAGCTCCCTCGTGATGTTTTGGGAGCTTCTTTTAATCTCTCTGTCTCTCTTTCCCCCTGCCCTCTGGGCCCTCCTCGGCTGTTGGCGGCCACCTGGCGCAGCGCGCGCACGCGCACGCACTCTCTCTCTCTCTCTTGAGTCGGCGCGCCGACTCGTCGTCCTCCCCCTTCAAAACCGTATGAAAAAAAGCCAGCGGCCTTGCTCACATTTAGTTTGGCCAGGTGTTCCAGTCTTGAGCTAGCTCCGAATCGAGCGCAAATAAACCAAACAACGCCCTCCTCCTCCTCCTCCGTGCCCTGCCTGTTTTGGCTCGAAGCACTTTGGCACTCGACAGCGTCGTTGAGGCGACGCTTCTTCTCGATCTACCGGTATGCCATTTAAAAAGCGCGCTTATTTCGATGGGTCGAAGGGGGGCATCGCTGGTGTCTTGAAGAAGCACGCCACGGAGGCTGACTTTTCGAATGCGCAGAGCAGCCAGCAGGGAGCCACACGAAGGGCAAACTGAACGTCGCGAATATCTTGGCAGTCAAGGAGATGTTTCAAGATTTGGTTGCTCTTCAGCACAACGTGGCTTTTCAAGCAGCGAAGATCGATGGTGCTGTCGAGATCGCTTGGACTGCATGCAAGGAGGGTTGGCCCCGCAAACCCAAGCCAGAGTTCCAAGAAGAGTGGTGCAACAGCATCAGCAGCAGGCTGCGCGTGGCCTGCAGGCATATCAGCAGCGCGATGGCTCGGAGCGCCAATGGCAAACCGCCGAGGTGGTTGAAGGAGCTCCAGCACAAGGGTGCCGAGGATGGCGAGGGGGGCGACGGCGAACGCGAAGAGCAGGAGGGTGAAGA